CAACGTATACTCATACGGCAAAATAGTCTATTAATCGGCATTTGATTTCTGACTTCAAATTACCAAGACCCCATTCCATTTCATAGTCGACTAATTCCACAGTACTCACCTCATTTTTTTCTAATTTTGTGTCTGTCTGTCCCTTTTACGTCTGTGAATCGTCATTCTGTCCCCCTCTCGACTTTTTGCCACTTTGATGTTCCTCTGTGAAGCACGAAGTCAACTAAAGGGCTAATGATAGTCCCCATCTCGACTTTTTGTCACTTTGATGTTCCTCCTCCTACCCCTCTCGACTTTTTGTCACTTTGATGTTCCTCCTTCTCTCTCGACTTACTCTCGACTTTTTGTCACTTTGATGTTCCTCCTCCTCTCTCGACTAAAGTCCGAAGTCAACTAATGGACTAATGATACCTATCATAACACCTGCCATTTGAAATAAATAAATATTCTCATAGAGTTCTAAAAAACTACTAAACTTCTCTGGTTGAGAATATATAAAAATAAATATTATGATCTAACGAGAAGTCAAGACATAACAGTGGAAATATGATGTGTGATAGAAATGTGCCAAAATTGTTGTAAATTAACAAGGTAATGGCATTTAGTGACGACTTTTGCGACTCTTTAAGTCATGTTATTAGGAAAAGTATCGGATCACCGAGAATTAGAAATCTAAATCGTCCCTCCTACAACCTATAATTTGAAAAATAGTCCAGGTTTTCAAAAAATTAAAACCTAAATAATTAAACATATATATAATATCTTAATATATTAGTCATTAATATTTCCAAACAATATACGGTTATAAATATGCTCAAGTGAAACGGTAGAAAATGGAAATAAAGTAGTTGAAAACGAAACAAATAGAGAACATATTTTTAACCACGAAGTAAAGCATATGATAGTCTTCACAACATTAAATATTAAATAAATAACATTAAATACAAGCTAATTTCAATTGAATAAGTAAAGCTTTATAACTAAATGTACGCACCTTCAATAGCACCGTCGGCGTGTTCCAAAGGATCTTTGGCGTTGAGAGATGTTACAAGTGTTTGAAAATCCGTTTCGACTGCATAAAGCTGGCGAAGAAGAGGTTTCAGTTCTGATGGATAACGGCTACTGGATTCTCGAGAATGTATATTGGCAGCAAGGACACCAAGAATCAAATTGTAAATACTACGTTTCTTTCGCCTCAGCGCAGACAGCTCATCGTAGAAGCGCTATAATGAAATGGTTAAGGGGTAAATACTTCTAAACTAAACGTTTAAACAGAGGTGCATTATTTTATTACAGGCGGGTAATATTTTAAGCTGTTCAACTTACAGAGTGACAATATTCATCAACACTCTTCCTATTGCTCCAAAACTTCTGCTTCAATGACGAAACGTCATCTTGCAGATTTGTAAGTTTCTTTCTGATCAATTCTTTTTGAATAGGCGAACAATTCATGTTTGAACTGCGAAAAATCTTATTTAGATATTATCAGACCAATAGGTTATTTATTTGTCGATATAAGCGTTTCTTCGTATTAGTCACACGCTAGGAAGAATATCCAAGTAGTGTGTATAAACAAAGCCTTATCTACAATTATGTTGGCTATTTTTTCTAATTTATTGTCCAAAGCAACAACTTTTAATTTCATATATCTTTGATGTATTAAATTTTAATAAATTCATATCTCATAAATCCTACAATTTATTTTAATAACTATTAGAATTTCCAGTAGATCTCAGCCTGAATTTTAAGTAAGCAAAATGTGTAATATCTGTATAGACATTCAAACAATATATTGCCTGCTTAAAATTGTGTGTCTCGAGGATAAATAATATTCTTTAATCCCTATTTACTTATTTTTCGCTCAAGCTTTAATAACATTCTGTTGTTAAATAATAAGAAACTACGACATTTACCAGATCTTTTGTTGAATTATCAAGTTATATTTGACGTTTATCATTCTCCAATGCTAAATTGTAAAAGGATACTAATACATTTATTTACAAATCATAGCTGTAAGCTAAAATAACATTTGGGATTTTTTTACATTGAACATATTTAAATACATACACATTGTCAACTCCCTTTTACTCTCTTTGGCTTTCCAAGTAGTCACTAACTTCATTTACCATAAGTATAGGATGTACTCCAACATATATGCAATGCAAACAATAAAAATATGTAAAATAAATGATAAATAATTAACATACTTTTTCAAAGCAAATGTATTTGTTTTTACCCACCAAATACCAATTCACAGTAGAGAATAATCTAATTGGGATAACAACGTCTTGACTAACTTAACATATCAAGAAGAAACTTTTTCATAAGAACATTGTGTTTACAAAAGTAACTTAGGGTGCTTTTCGCGGCCACTCGCGAAATGTTCCAACAGGGATCATTTAGATATACGTGACCCCGTTGTCTACGACATAAACGTTACGGCAGATTAAAATTAGCTTCTTTTGCATTTGAAACGAAATTCTTTCTTGTTTGCCCTTAGGATTCAATTTAAAGGTGCTAAACTTAATTGCTCTGGTTTTCAAATTTAAAAGTTTGATATTCTAATAAGTCAAGTTGGTGGAATTAAATTATGAAATAGAACAATTCAACTACCTTATTGCCTTCTCAAAATGTGTCTTGTCTGAAATGAAATTAATTTTGTTAAATGTAGTTATACCATGCCACAATATTTTGCCAATAGTGACGTTTCTTTTCCTATATACGGCTTTATAATTTGCATTTTTCTCATCCTCTCAAAGTGTACACTCGGAATATCAGAAACCAAACAGCATGCTACTACCTGGGAAAATCTACACTCCGTGTGGTGACTTACGCGTCACCCTAACTCCAGCTTATTTTAACCATTCCCTTTCCCTAATTCTACAAAACATGGAATTATTTTCGTCTTCGTCCTCTCAGGTTTCCTCGGTTTCTGTCAAAGTTCGCCTTCGTTGTTACCAAAGAAATCGACATATCAACTTCTCCTTCCATAAGCAAATCCTGGGTCCCATTAGACACGCATAATATGTGAAAATTCCTATGAACGATTGACATATAGGTACCATTGTATTTAATGTGATAAAACAAGCTGTTTGTTAAGGTTTCCGGTGCCCAATTACAAAATACAATGGTACACTAATAGTGACTGCAATTATGTTGCTCCTGACATTCAATATTTTGAAATAGTCCGTTCCTAAAAGGCTATTACACATTTTTTAAAGACATATTCAATCTGATAGAGTGTTTCAGACAAGATGATTCTAGTGTGAATCTCCACTTCGAGCTTCACTCATTTTCAACAAGGTAAAATTGATTTTGACACGTCTTTAAGTAAATATTGATTGATTATCTCGAATATTTCGAAAAATTTCATAATTTTGTTGAATATTTATTTGAACAGATTTATGGTCCATAATAATTGATCATGAACAAAACGTCTCAAGAGAGTTTAAAAATCTTAAAAAATGAGAAGATGAATTTGAGTTTAAAAATTTCTTCGTTGCCTTTTTTATCAATACATATACAATAGTAGGCTAGAACTTATGATTTTACTATGATTGAGAGAGAGATTACATAATTATGTGGATATTTATATTATATTGACTTTGAATAGCAATTTTCCTTAGTTTTAGTTAAAAAACGTAGCAATTGCTCAACAGAGCAAACGAATAAATGGTATAAGATACGCCTTTGAGACTCCAGAATAATGCAAAATGTGGGTAGATCGACTTTGTCATCATCGATTTCAGAACAATCCAAGAATGACGTTAGTAAATTGCATTTTAAAATAAAAAAAACGTATATGGCGAAAGTAAGGAACTAAAAATGTCCTTTATTACTTGTTAACAAGTAGAGTCATTAGTTTGTCTGATTTTGAAGAAATGAACAAAAGGGTTAATTCATCATATGTTGGCCATTTGTAGTTGCGAGCGGTTAGTTTTGAATTATCACTAATATAAATTATTTATTTTATCAAAAGTTTTACTATGTAGCCACGCGAATAAATGTTAAATTCTGATTGGTTCAACCAGCGTTCTTGATTTAGTTAGTTTGTGTGCGTTATGGATTACGTATTTGGGACTATTTTTGGCGTCCTGGAATGCCCAAAAATCCGAATTAAGAGACCCTCATGGCTACATCTACCATCGAGAATGACTGTCTTTGCATTTGTGTTAATAACGTATTTCCTTGTTACGGGAGGTAACTTCACACGTAATATATGTATATATCTTTAGGCATTATTTTTGATATAATCAACGGACCTCCTAGTGTTGGCACCGAAACTGATGCCAAAGGAAATCAGCGACCAGTTGCATTTATGCAGTGGCGATTAAGTAGCCAGTATATAATGGAGGGTCTTCTTTGTAGCTTCATGTTTACGCTTGGCGCCGTCGGTTTTATAATTCTTGACATAGTAAATGAAGCTAAAATGACTAGACTAACGAGGACAATAACCCTCTCAATTGGAGTTGCGTCTGTCTTTATTGCCTTTATTTGCATTCGTTCGTTCATGAAAATTAAGCTTCCGTGGGCTTTATATTTCACACTAATGATTTTTTCTAGGTCGTATCGATTTTAATTTTCTTAATGCAACTGCCAAATTCTTGGGTCTCGTAATCATTTTGAAGACTGAATGATTTGTGCTGTTATTTCTGTCTTGTCTCCTAATAGAATTCCATTTACTCTTGTATTTGTATAGCTTGTGTTTCACTGTACATATTTTCATTTGTTTTTAAATCTAAATGATAATTTATAAGCGAGTACGTTTGGTATTTAGATTAAAATTGTATTATTGTAAGGTGTGAATAGATAAACCCTCTCAAAATTGGGTTCTATTGAAGATAGGCTTGGTAACATAGCATTTATATATATGTAGCGGATTGCTACGCTAGTAAAGCCTGACCGACTCAGCCCTAAGTAAAGCCTGACCGACTCAGAAATCTCTATGGCAGATTCTTCAACATCAAGCTTGACTCCCAGAATAAGCTAAGCTATAGCCCAGCAATAAGGGAAACAGACGTGTAGCACGGAATACGTTTTTTCGGCACGTATATTGGTAGCGAAGTGTAATGTTGGCAAAGCGATTAGTTATTAGATAAATCTAGCATAATTCGCGTGAACATTAATAGCTAAATATCTCTGAAAAAGCAGGAGTTCTGTTGGTCATTGATGAAGTGTCCCACAGATAAATTAACCGAGAGCACTGTCTGATTTGTTGCCTTTATCGGGAATCTGTATTTATGCTTTTGAAGTGTCCGGGGAGTAATTTTACTCCTATAAAATGATTTATATTCTGCCATTCTTGGGGCTAGCCAGCACTTGATTTTCAACTCGTTAACTCGTACAATAGTTAATTTGTTGACCCTGCAAAATCCAATTTTGAATATAAGTCAGATTGTATCTGTGATTGTTTCGAAACCCCTAACAAATTGGCGGCTAAATTTACAGTTAACACAAGGAGACTGGAGTCGCAAGTTCATTTCGTCAGCATAGTGATCGATTCTAAAAATATACGGCGAAATATCCAGATGTGAATAAATTATTTATAGGAGGTATGAAACAACAAAACACCGACTAATTAAGTTCATTCATGGTAATGCGAGGTAAAGCTGACTGTTTCGAAGCTCTAGATCCGTACAGGAATGATGACGAATGGCAAGGAAATATTGACTCCAATTCTGAATCTTAGTAGAGTCAATCCATTTGCAATGAATCAATCTCGCGTAATACTCAAATATCTCTCAGTTAAACTAAAATTAATCTATTTACACTTTATCGAAATAATGCCCAATAACCCTCACAGAATTTAGCAGGACAGAAATCTAATCCGCTATCCTTCTTTGCAACTCCTTTGATTAATAAGTGGAGCTATGATAAATATTCTCACAACCTAATGCGTAACACTACCAACAGCTTTTCTCCAGCTGATTTTAGGTAAGTTTGAATTTAAGTTGGCGGTCAAATAAAGCTAGCAGTAGGAACCATCAATTAAGACTAGCAACTCAAGAATGAGAGCCAATTTTCACCGAATTTCCGAAGCATAAACTGAAATTTAACGTAAAACGAGGCACATTCGAGAGTGTCATATTTTGTGAACTTGGCCAATCAGTGACAAAATATAGAATCCATGAAAAAATCATGGAAAGTTCTTGAGAGTTATTCAGTAGACCACCAAAGTAAGCAATTTTAGATCAAAAGAAGAAAACTCTGATAAGCGAAGGAGAGATTTATTCGAAAAAAAACAGAGGGCCAAGACATTATGTACTATGGGAGGCTACTAAGATTTAACAAGTAATAATCCGAAGAAAGTATGAATAGTTAGCTGCCTTGAATGTCTGCCAGAACTTCTGGGTCTGGATGCAAGAATGCCAAACCCTCTGGTGTATTCCTGTGGGGGGGCTCCTTGTACTTGAATATGTCGAGTGAATAATAAGCCTGAAAGAATTACTAAATGACAACCGTCTTACGATTGCAAGTGAGACGCATAACGTAGCTAGACCGGCATACATATATCTGTTGTATTCTGCATTCATCTGATCTATTTTAACTTTCCAAGACCCTTCGGGTTTGGTCATTTCGTTGTACGAGACAGTTGGAAATCGCATTGGCTTTGTATGCAACTTCACAGAGGAAACTTCATTTACATGAACGACTACAAATGTAAGAAAAAATCTTACTTCTGAGAAAATTGCGAGGTAAACACTTCATCAGTGAGGAAGCCATTAAGAAAGCAACTGATAGCAGACAGATGGATAAGAACCTAACCAATCCAATGGAGATATCAGGGACAAAAAATGCGTTTAGTATATAATTAACTGGAAAATTTCATTTTTAAAAGTAATTCTAAGGAAAATAAAAACAAAATAAAAATTAAAAGTTTTAATTTGGACCTTATAATATAGCAACCCGGATTAAAATATCATTCATTTAAGTTAGAATATGATGAACATTTATTAATAATTACTTCCAATTAGTTTAAAACACTTTAATTTTATAATATTTAATACATATTGGAATATTATAAATGAAATTAAGAATTTTCTTTTAGTCAATGGGCGCAGTGGCTCGTATGTTGGTATCTCACTTTTGCACGAGTGAACATGCGGCCGTTGAAAGAAGCGGAGTATAACGAGCTTGTTAACAAATTATTGAAATAGTAAGTTAGTTCTTAACAATATAAACTTAAATTTTAGCATTAAGGATGTAAATGTTTTACTGGAACGTGGTTCAGAAAAATACAATTTTTACTATCATAGAGAGCGCGTCTTTTACTGCAGAGAGGATTTAGCGAAACGCGCTGCAAATGTCACTAGGAAAAATCTCTTAAGCTTTGGCACCTGTTTCGGGAAGTTTACTAAAACTAGGAAATTCCGCTTGCATATTACAGCTCTTCCATATATTTCACCTTATGCGAAACATCGTATTTGGCTGAAGCCAAATGCCGAGCAATCATTCCTTTATGGTAATCATATTATTAAGTCAGGATCGGCTCGAATTTCCGACGATACTCCTCAATACGCTGGTGTCGTTGTAATGAATATGGCTGATATTCCTTTGGTAAGATTTTTTCTTAATTCACATCTCAAATCTTAGGGCTTTGGCGTTGCAGCAAAGTCTACAACACAGATAAAGAATACAGATCCAATGACTATTGTTGGATTTCATCAAGCCGATATTGGTGAGTATATCCGAAGCGAAGATACCATCGTCTAAACAATGTTTCTTGGTTTGTACCCGTGTAAATACATTCCTCATCAACATTATCGACATTTGTTTTATCTGGTTTGTGTTACTCTTGATACCTGAAGAGAATGACCAAAAATTCTTTTATTCATAGTTGTTTTTTTACGTAGATTGGTTTTCATATTCCTTTGAGATTTTTTCTTCGTCGTTTTATTGTAGTTAGATGACAATTTCTACATCTATTCCGTTGGCTATAATGAGGTTCTTCGTTACCAAAGATTACAATTACTGAAACGTTTAATTTGGCTCCCTTGCGTTTCATCGCTCAGAATTGAAGCTTTAATATTTGGTTTATAACTTCAGACCAATGGTAACCTAATTATTTAGCGTGTTTTACTTCGTTCTATTTCAAATGCAGTTTCAATTTGTACTGTAAGTATTAAACTAAGTTTTTTCTCTAATCGTGTATCTATGGAGCTGCAATTGCCATTAAGAAATGACTGTCTTTTTCCTAGCAGTGTTAAGGCCTAAAATTCTTAGAGGAAGTCGGAAAACTTTTAAGCAAAGAATGAGGAATTTCATGACTTCATTGGCTAATGTTTCTTTCTTTTGTATCCTATGTTTTAATCGGAGAACTTGGAGTTTGCTTGACAAACTACCAACTATGTTTATTTTCCTTTTCCTTTAAGGCAAAAGATATTCATGCGAACATATACTTTCCTTTTATTAATATTCAAAATCAATGGAAAATAGTAAGAGGAAGGTCGCTATATCGGTATCACATTAGCCTTTAACCTGGTTCATTTAACGCATTTAATTTAGTTGTCTAAATGCACACGTGCCTGACTATCTCTATGATACACGGCAGCTTGATTTTTGGAATAGCTACTAAAATGGTTTCCAATACACCAACTAGATCTCCTGCATGTGTTCCTTCTGCAGGTTATTCCAGATAGTGATAGGAGTCATCCAATGGTTGGGAATACATTTCAGTGGTTAGAATTCCTTCAACACACAAGCAAAACGGCTGATTTCCTCATCAAGCACTGACCTAGTGACATTTATTCAATTCGATATCATTTTGGGAAGTACACACAAAGGCACAGGAACAGCGTATCCTTTTCAGACCACAACTCTGTGTTTCGCATGAATTAAATCTAATTCACCGATGAGGGTTAACTAACACTACAGATCTGGATAAAACACTAGTGACGTGCGATTGGGTTTCAACAATTTCACCAAACCAAATGTCTACGAATTCTTACGCCATTGAGAAAAGCCGTTAAGCTGTATGGATCCCATCACGTCATTTATAACTGTTCGAAAACAAACTCCACTATGTATACTTCGAAGGGGATTGGAGAACAAACTGTCCAAGGGAGCTAAATAATAACACCCCTCTCCCCACGCATAGTGTAGGAAAAACGCTTTCCTAAATGGGCACCTAGGCTACTGAGAGATTTAGATAGAAATTCGAGAAAATAAAAGAAAGTATCTTATGTAAAGCACATTTACTTGCGTAAATAAATACTTTTTTATCATTTGTCCTAACAGCATCAGCACATACAACTAAATCACAAACGTAGTTCAGCAGCTAGGATTTCTGAAATACAAAATACGCAATAGACACAAAACATCACAGATTGCCAGGGCATCGGAATTAAAGGAAACAGAAGTGGTGGCAGAGGTGGGGGTCTTGTGGAGTGCTTTTATGGTAATGACGATGCATTGACTCTGAATCCTGGAAAGTCAACCCGTTTGAAGTCGGACTCAAATTTGTATGCTGGAAGGAGAGCCTCTTTCGACGATTTGGGAAGGATTACTTTTGCATAGCCATTCCAGTGGTTTCCTAAAACTCCGACTCTGTCGCCGGCTTTTATATTGGTCGCCTTGTCGTCAACAATGGCAGTTTGATACCACTGCTGTTGACCACCATAGTAATAGGAGTCGTCAAGGGACTGGAAGCGCATGGATGCGTCACCAAGCTCCAGTGGGTAGGTCTGCATCAACTCGTAGGCAAGACGGCCAATCTTAAGGAAGTTAAAAAGCCGTAAATGATTAAAGGCCATAAAGAAGATGAGAATTTTTTTAAATAGGAGTCTACCTAATAGGTACATTAGTGTCGGAGCAAGTGATTAAACTAAGGATTAGCTACGATAGAGCCGATAGTCGCGTAATACTTTTAGCAAACTTAAAAATGGCAAACATGACTCATTGGTACATGCATTTTGTGGGTCTTAGAGGAAAGGAAAAAATCAGGTAACTTATTAAACGACCTTATTTATCGAGTCTATTTCCATAAAAATTAAGTTCTCTATATCCTGAACACACACACGTTAAGAGAATCAAATACGAAAGCGCCATAAGGATGAGGACTCGGTATCTTACCACATAAAGAATTGGCCAGTGGTTTAATTGGTTTACTGTCGTACTCGTGACCTCTGACCTGACAGATTTTCGGTTAGACCGCGATGCAAAAAATACCCAAATAAATCTCCTCCAACCATATGCAAGTCACTAAGCAAGTCATAACTGAAGGAATTGGTGTGACCAACCTTCGAAACCCCATTAGTCAATACGAAAGAACAGGCTGGAAGGAGGAAAAAACGAGAGACAAGTGAATATATATGAGAACTTTTAACCCTAGAAATATTCAAACACACGGCTCCATGCAAAAAAAATTAATGCCCAGTTAAATTTTGCTTTCAGGTCTATCTTTCGCTTTACACATGATTTTGCTTTATCTATAGGGTGTCATTTAGCAAATGACCATTTACAGCAAGTTTACTATGCCTGTTTCACCAATATTAACAAGGATTAAACAAAAAAGGAAGAGGAAACAAACCTGTGAAGAGAATGTACAGACTAGATGATCTGTGTGAGAAAGAGCGATAACATCAGCCACGACAGCGAGTAGTGACCCGTGAGTGTACCGGGTGGAAAGGGATGCAGACTCTGCCCGGTGAGCATCACCAATAAACTCATAAAGTGGTTGTCCATCAGAATCCACTTTGGAACCAAATTGATCTCGAGCCTCTTTGAAAACATGCGGATCATCCGTCGCAATGAGGACTCGTCGCTTGTATGGTTTGTTTGGAATGGAGGCGTCATCTCCTCGCCATCCCTGAAAAAAAAATAAATGGACGCGTAAGCCACATCAGTAAATGAGAATACCACCGATCATTTTACCTCCTTAGCTAATATAAATGAGAATAAGTCGCTTTTCATGAGGAGTACATCTATTTACCTCTGTTTGCGCGCTGATAGTACGTTCTGCGTCGAGCTTGTTGTAATACTGGTCCACGTAGTACATATACTCCTCAAACTTGTGATACTTCGCTTCAGTATTTATCTAAATAGAGGGAAAAGGTTAAGTAAGCAATGTGCAAATCAGCAACAAGAGTGCAGACGTCAAAAGTTGTCAAGCCCATGCGTGTCATATTGTTTATCACGCACACGCGTACACACACACACACGCATATCTGAGTTGATCATCGCTTTCAAATGCTATTTTTCAGAAACAAAATCCACTTTGCTGATGCGAAAAGAGCTACAATGCATTAAACTGATATGCATAGAAACAAAAGCATTTGAATTCATGCAAAATTGAATCAGACCAAGATAAAGGAGAGGAGAGAGAGCATAGAAACATTGGAATATGAAATGTCGCTGAAGTACCAGTATTTGTAAACCCCTTAAATTGCATAATGGTACTAGATGATCTTGTATCATAATGGGTTTCATGAGTGGAAGAAAAAAAGAAACACAAGGTACTGAGTCTTAAAACTGTTCATAACTATACTTGGAATTTTAGCATGATTGAATGGAATCTAGAAACTGTCAGCAAAAATGGGGTGTGCGATAGACTTGCATCCATGTGGTGCACCCTGGGCAACGTATACTCAAACGGCAAAAAAGTCTATTGACTGGCACTTGACTTCTGACTTCAAACTACCATGAACCCATTGTATATCATATTCCACAACTTCCACAGTACTGATCCCACCTTTTTTCTGCCTTTGTGTCTGCCTCTTTTACATCTTTGAAATACTCTTCTGTTCTCTCGACTTTTTTCCCTTTGATGTTCCTTCCTTCTTGAACAACCCCTCCCTCTCGACTTTTTTTCACTTTGATGTTCCTTTCCCTCTGTGAAGCCTGCCAAACGCCTGCCATTTGATAGAAATAAATAAATGTCAACAAAATTTATATGCGTATATTTTAGTCATGACCAAGCCAATTGAAAATACCCTAATTTCAATTGTTAAGCAAATGAGCGGGTTGCTTTTACAAGGCGCGGGATTTGAAACGGCCAAAAATGGCTTTTTGAATATCCGTTTTACTTAGCCTAATTGATTAGAAACCAAAAATGATCATTGACGTTTGTTTTAGATATGCTATATTCACAGTCTATTGCTAGAGACCCCAAATAGACAGACACAGACGAAAAATTAACAGTTCATAATTCCAATTTGTAAAAGGCTCTAACCTCTCAGCAACCAGACTCCAATAATTAGCCTACCAGCGGAGATAGCACCATTAGCATAAAAAGAAGTAGCCTTTAGGAACACATGCATGTACACACCAGTTAAGTTTGGAGTCAAAAATATATGATGCTGGTATCATAACTCTTGAGACTTACCACTAAACTAGTTTCTAACATGAATTGATTAGTTAGTCAGAGGCAATATTCAAACGGTCTAATTTTGAACAAGTACAAGGCTTTGCCCTTTTAATTCAACGCCGAAAGAATATCGAAGAAAGCACAAATTTCTCAAAGATGGGCAAACGAAACAAAAGCATTGATGAGTGATTGGATAAAAAGACAAATAGGAATAATCTATACAACAGCAGAAGGTCCAACAAAAATTTTGCTTATCATGATAATTAAAGCAAAAAAAAGATTAATAAATAGATTTAAAAGCATTAAAAGCTTTTAGCAATTATATTTAAAACAACAAAGAAGGGATGTTAACTATTCTCCAGTAATTATTAGGATAAACGCTTTGAAATTTTGTTTCAAAATGAATGGTCATTTAGCCGTAGTAATCAAAAACAAGCCATTAGTCTTTCAAGTAACCAGCTAAGAAATTATACAAACACAAAGTGAAAGAAGCAGAGATGAATATATGCTCGAAAATAACAATAGAGAAGCATAAGAAAATAACTAACGAGAACAAATTAAGACTAGAGTTGTCTGAATAGACACATCTATGAATGCCATTATTTATTTAGTTAAGTGAAAGTAGTTTTCAGCTCTTTTCTCAGGTAGACGCATTAAAATTTGGTACTCACTTCAAACTATACTCACATTCTACCATTCCTAAGTGTCCAAAAAGATAAGTCGCCTAAGCAAATATGTAGTGACCTTAAAATTGTTCAAGAATCCACCCTTTTTTATTTTGATTTACAACTAAACGTCAAGCATACCAAGCCTTCAAAAGGTGCTGAAATTGAACGTAAACTTCACCATTATCCGTAAACAGCAAAGATATGGCGCAGTAAAAATATTTAAGTGACATTCTAATTGCAACCCCCCACCCCCCACCACCACCTCTAAGTGTTCTTCGCATGTCCTATTTGATAACAAAAAACAATATTAGATGGAACTTTAGAGGTAAGGCAGAATACACTCTTGAAAAAATACTCATTTCTTCATAATGATGAACGATTTTCGACTTAAATATTACATCCGCAAGTAAGAAACGGTAGGAGAGAATGGAATATTATCATATGCATTAAATTGGCAAATTTCTCCTACCAATTCAATGGGTAAGTATTAATATATGCTAACAAATCCACTAGCAGCTCTAAGAAGTTAAAAGTGGCATTTGTGAACTACGATATTTGTACTCAAAAAAAGACAAGGTGAGATATAAATATAGCGAGAGAAATTAGAGAATTTGTGTTTGCCAAATAGTGTAAACTGTACATCACGCAAACTATCTCTTGTTCGATCTGATTTCAACCGATCGAAGAAGGTGAAACGGAACTCTCTTAAAATTGGATCTCCTCCCATTCTTCGATTTTGTTTCCAGCAGAAATGACAGAATAGTCATTTAAAAAGTCATTCCCATTTTTTAGTTCACTAAACCTTAACCTAATTAGTAACAAAATAGAAGACCAGCCACCTCATAACTTACCTCACATATTTAAAAATAGATTCCACGTATTCACAGTAATAGTCCATATAAGCCAAAAACGTGATCCACCATAGAAAGATTAGATAAGACATATTTGCCTTAACATTGAGCTTACTAAGAGCTGGAAAATATGAAAAATATAGAGTAAAACATCATGATCGCAAAATTGGAAGGCAATAGCAATAGGGTTTTAAATACCATTAAACGCAGTAACGTGTATGACGTAAGATATAAGGATAATATGGGTTAAAAATGTGACCCTTAAAACTGGCATCTAATGACAACATCGGATTCATGCTATTTCTAAATAACATTTAAATTATTACCCGCCCTGCTATGTCATCCAAAAATAATTTCAACTGCTCCTATTGCTAGAAGGGAGTGATTTATCTCTATGATTAAACGAACAGTTTAGTTAACTTATTATGAATCACTGAACTTCCTGAAATTTGAATTTTGTAAGAATTAGAAGATTTCAGAAATTAGATGGAGACATAAGTTCAACTCTAATACTCCCCCTCATCATCACCAATTTGACAAATAAGAGCTCTACCATTTATTTCCAACGCTTTGTAAGGCTAAAAGCTGCAACAGGTAATTGATAGCAATGGCGAAAAATTTTTAAATTTCAATAATTTTCAAAAAAAACCATGCTTAATTCTTTCCACCGAATACAAATAAGACCCATCATAAATAAAAGAAACCACAACTCAGGCCCAGACAGCAAAATAACAGCTGATAATGCACTATGACCGGCAGCAGATCCAAGTGAAATAATTCCACGAATATTACTAATGTGGAACAATCAAATTTGAGGAAATCAACAATTTATAGATAAGCAGATGAAGTATAGAGAAATTTTAAGTAGGGGAGAGAGAGAAAAAAAAGATAAACGCCTTTTTGGAGAGGAAAATGGCCAGGATTTAAGCCAAGAACTGTCTGCCCGAGACCCAATATATTCTTGACCTCGACTTGACGATAATTTTGAAGAGGTCAAATGGTAGACCTGTAGTTCCCCTTTAGGTGACTACTTAGAACTTTTGGAGAAAGCGGAGGCACCATCCCCATAGTAGTAGAGCCTAATTGAATTCAGACCAAGTAAGAAATGATGCAGATTTTGTCACTAATAACCAATCGCCTTTCAGTACAGACTACACTTCCAAATCACGTTAGGAAATTGTGACTAACACAACTCGGCTATATAAGAGATGATAGGCTAATTTTAGTCATGCAAATTATTACCAGTAGAGCATGTTGTTAGTTAGTTAAGGTAAGGTAAGGAACATGGAAAAGAAAAGGCGCCTGAAAATTCACTAGCATACATTCCGATGAAGCGAGATTCTAGTTATGCATTTAACAATGCCCAGGAAAATAAAAGAAGTCTTGCAGGAAGGAAGGAGAATTAGTAAAGGTCTAAGGAAGGTGGGTGGGGGGGGAGATTTAACAAATGGGCAAGAATTCCTTTAAGGAAATAAATCGGCAGCTTAAGGAAGTACAGACTTGACAATGCAAAGTATTTTGATTATATTTATGCTAATGAAATAAGGATGGGGACTTCGAAACCCAAATTAGGGAAGAAATAAATAAATAAATACAAAGACGAGGATAAATTGATCAAAAGAAGGAAAGATGGAAAATACTCCACAAAGTTTCCATTTTATAATACTTCCTTTCATTATGCTAGCAGATTGGTCCTGGAGATGTTTATTGTTTTATACTCTAATAATAGCAATGATAAATTCACGCATAAGCTTAATTTTGGCCAATTCGCAGGCACGCAAGAGACTCATTCGACAAATAATAATTCGCAGATTCCAAGTGGGAGATGGGAATTGCCAAAAGCAGAAAACCCCCCAAACAAGAGAGGCGGAATATTTGAAATGAAATCACTTGTACAGGTTGATTGAACTTACTTACTTAATATTTTAAATTCTATTCGAAAACCAGAGCACTGTAATACGATACGTTGATAAGTGCAATTGCAACAATCTATCTATCACATTAAGAACCAACTTCAGACAATAAAATCCATAAGGGGTTAGACTTAGCAACCTTTTAGAAAGCAGAGATGCTTTCCAGTGAAACCATACTGCCAATATTGATCTAATTGACTAAAGTCAAAAAAATTTAACATGTCAAAACGGTCCAATTGCGCTTAACTGTTAGAAAAAATCGATAAATCACACAATAGGAACTGTTCAACAGAACCCAAATACACAGTGGACTTTTCCCTAGCCAAAATGGGTGTCATTAGTATTTATATTAGCAACAATGAAACTGAACTGTCAACGATGGATCATTACTAACTTAGTAAAAATTAAACATTCTTCTACGTTTAGTCCCATGAGAGATTATGAATTGAATAAAGTAAAGAGAAAGATGGAAACTCAACTTACATTCAAGAAGTTAAGGAGGTAATACAAATCCTTTCCAACCCATGCTCCTGATAGTAGTTACTTGACATAGCAGACCCAACACAAAGATAAATTTGTGACGTACTTATTGTTAGGTACTTATGATAATGTGAGAAAGAGGCTTGCGCACTTGAGAGCATTAAAGAAGCCATTCGAATACAGACCACATTACAGAGAAGAAATAAAGGAAATACAGACTTGGAATTAGCGCAACTTACCTTATCTGTTCGTCTGACATGAACTCCTACCACTGGGGCAGGATCTGTAGGGTCTCGTATACTCTTGAGAAGCTTATCCATAGAGGTAGCAATTTCTCCATCTTGAAGACGCATGAGGTAAGCGCTGAGATGTCCAGAAACCCAAACCGACGGCGCGCCATGGAGATGATTTAGTGGTTCAGCGATTGATGTTGGAACTGCGGGGTGGGCGTATTCGGGGACCTGTGCCAACTCTTCCACAATGGGACAGAAGACAGAGATGGCGGTCTCAAAGCCAGGGGCTAAGGGAGAAACAACATATTAAGGCTAGAACAAAGGAGCCACTCGTTTTATAGCGACCAAGTTCAAATTCACAAAGCTACAACTCAATCCCAAAAATGAGGACTTGTAGCTCGAAACAAGATTTCCAACATTTAGCTATCGGCTGCCTGGTTAATAATTGCAGTGATAAAAGCTTTAGTGCTTCGTGCGAGCGTGCAAATTGAATAATAGTAAATCCAATGTACGAGAACTGAAGCTTGTATGTTTCTTTCAAGACCATCAAAAACCCAATTCAATGGGGGTGTAGCAGTACATAGCTTAAACTACCATTAACCCATAAAAACTTCAGGCCCTGATGAAGTATGTATATCGAAAACAGCTTAAATAAACATGATTTCCGTGAAAACGAATTAAATTAACACTGCTCAAAAGATAAGTAAATAATAAATCTTTGGTGATGCTTCAACCTTTTCAAAGCCTTTAAGGTTCATAAAACAACAATTAAATAGACTTAAGAATGCTTGTCCTGCTTAAGCCGAATGAGTCAGAGTTTAAGTCTGTCGTAGAATAGCAACAAACTAGGGATATTTGGCATTGGTATTTTCGTTTGTTTGGCAGAAGGATCTGAAGGAAGCCCTGAGGTGGCATTTTATGGGAAAAATTCGTAAAGGTTGGAAAAAAAATCATAGACTCTTTGCCATTTTGAAGGATAATGAGCCTTCCGCTTCTTTGAAGGACTCGAAGCGGACCATAATAAATAGACTTAAGATGTATTTTTCAACACGATGCTACTGAAGAAAGATGTGTGAAAATTTTCAAAGTGAGTGAAAATAAAAAGGGAGTAGGGAGCAGGGCGTGCTTATTAAATTTTGATCCCTATCGCATGTGACAAGCATGTGTCCAGCGATCCATAATTAGTTTTCCTGTTGCACGCTGGTCAAGATGGAACAAAAACAGTGGAGGCATTCGAAAACCTAGTGGTGACATGGTTTTGAAACAAATGGACATCATAAGCTAGCAAAATGGAGTACTCATCAACAGCACGTTTTGCAAAATTGGAGAGCGGTTGGACGGTTTCGAAATTCTCAGAATTCAGATTTAATTCTTTTAACTTTAGCAGACGAATGAAAATACAACAGTTATTACAGCTACTACTTCGATAACTGTTCAGAAAAGGCAATCAATCAGTCTGTCTGATGTAACGTGCTTGCAAGTGTGTACCCACATCCATGATTTTAAAAGATAAACATATGTCCATAAAAGCCACACTGTTATAAACTTACGAATGAACAGTAAAAATTTACTAATGTAAAACCACATTAAACAATTAATCTTAATAGACAGATTGAAAGAGGTAGGATATCATAAGATGATAATCATTTTTCTTTTATTGCACATAATTTACCAATAAATAATTAAACTAGCACAAAAAGTAGCGCGAACTAGGTCCAACATTAAGGGAATGCGAAGAAACAATTTCAATCGATTACTACTCTATTTCCGACCAAATTTAAACGCAAAATATGCGCATTCGATGCATAGCAAATTACGTATTTAATTGCAAATTACGTAACATTCAAGCATAGCAGGCAAACAAAGCCAAGACCAAGTGGTTCCAACTGCTAAAAGTCAGGGCGAAGAGGCAAACGGAAGGATAAACTCAACATCAGAGCCCGATATCGGAGGGGCGTGTAGTTATCCTGCTGTATTGCTTCTTATGCTGAGCAGATGAAAAAAAGTGAAACCCGAATATAGAGCATATTTACTACTTTTGTTAACAACTACTTTAACAAACTTTAAATTAGATATGCAATTAATGTTTAGGATGATTTTGAAGCACCACCGCCCATAAACTGGGGCGACCCTTTTTCTCTAACTTCAAGGCTAAGTAGCATCATAAGCGAGAACATGACGTGCCGACATTGAGGTCAAGGTATGTGCACAAATCTCACCACCTCCACACTTGACATCGTGTTAAGTAAGTAAGTAGTGCTACACGTAGTGTGCAAATTTACCAACAGCCGAAAATTATGACACGAAAGCTACACATCAGTTGCTTAATAGAGAAGAATAGTGAGAAAAGGTCGTGAAATGCAGCAAATAAACTTTTTAAAATTTTTGATATTTGTGCTTTAGTGTGGGTGCTAAATAACCTGCACTTAATGGTATAAAATATTACGCTTGTGAGAAATGTAGGGCAAGAGGGCTTATTCATACTAGCAATAGGCAACTCACTCTACTAGATCATGGAGAAGTAACTCCATATTTACAGCAACCAATAACAAGTACACGTTTTGTTTTTAGATTTTCGAGGGGTTCAACATGAAATTTCAATGGGAATTTGATCTATAAGTAAGAATTGCCTTAACGCTGCTTAGTCCACCAGGACTGTCATAGTTGTTCCTAACGGTCTTCACGTGGAATTATTCATTTTCTATGATGACCGATCAAAATCTCCGCACTGAATTAACTGATTTCTGGACGGCATGATTTGTTGATAATTTGCCATATTCAGAAGCATTTAAAGTTCTGGAGACATTAATGACCTTGTAAGTAACAAATAGTTGTAAATGCAGCATCCTAGTTGAGAGGACTTAAATGACTCAGTAGGACACACTTCGACTACAGCGAGACAGATTAAAGCGTATGAAGGACAAAAAATACCCTACACAAAACAAGTCACTCGAAAATCACAACAAAGCAAAAAAGCTATTCCATTAAATGTGTAATAGTATGCGAGTCAGTACTAGACAGAATCGATCTCAACAGCACTCACGAGATCACATAAAGACGTCAGATCTGAGACCTTTTAGTTAAATGAAATGGAGTATCCTTTCAGCCCCCGCCGGTTTGCCCACATTTTATTCTGCTTCCGACAATTTCTTAAGAGTAATTATGAAATTGTGAAAATAAACGAACGTCACTTCGAATATTCGACCCTAGTACATTTTAAATAAACAGACGATCGAGATCGATAAACAATACATCGATGCAGAAGAAGAGGTAAGAAGGAAAATGCAAGAAATTTAAAGCACCTTTTTTTCTAAACAAAACTTGTATCTTTGGAAAAAGAGCACCTCAGCAAAAAATAGGAGCCTCATAACAACAGAAACACTTTCATAGAACGTTACGAACTTGAATCCTTTAACAAAATAAGGAAATGCATAAATATCAAATGCCAAATTGCTTTCAAAGATTTTGCTTTAAGAATTGACACAGCGAATGCAAGTTAACCATAAAAAACATGACCAGAAATTTATGGAAAAAGCGCAACCCAAACGATTTACGTATTTAAACAACCTGGTTTCTTTAATTCAACGTAGCAAGGGTGATGTGTTTATTAGAAACGAAATGGGGAAATGGAGTAACTTCGTAAATTAATAAACAAAGCCACTTCATGGAGAACTTATAGTAACTAGTAACAATTTCACGCGAATGGCAACGATATTTGCTAAATCAGGATCGTAATGGATTTAAGACAACGACATCAGAAGGATAAAAGGAGGACTAAATGGATACAGTAATTGAGAACAACAAACTTATGAGATGAATTGGAGTTACCGCCATAAAAATACAATGTTTTAGTAAAAACGGATGCTCTTTGATTGTGACAATACGATTGAGAAAAGCAGACGACTGTTTCACTCCGGTTTATTTGAATAAACCCAACATACGGAACTCAGCTACTTGAAAAGTTCATAAAATCTCTGCCACGTCAAAACCGCTTGTTGTGTAAAGGGGGTTGAGAAAATACAAACATTTTTTGTCATTTTGGGGTCATCAGGAAACGATTGGCTGAGTGACAAGACAGCTAGAGGAGGAGGCGAGGGGGGGGGGGGGAAGACAGCAACAATAAAGTAACCCATTATGGCACAAATTGAAGGAGAAATGAGACCAGAAGATTACAATGTTTAAAATATTTAGTGGAAATAAATAATCGCCTTTGAAGTTGGCACCAAAATACATTAGACAAAATGTGCTTTATAAGACGAAATAGGAAAAGAATTCAGACTTTGCCAATTCCGAAATTTTAAAGTTGATTGAAATGCAATTACGTCTGTTTTACTATTTTTTTTGAACATTTGTGAAATGACAAACGCATAAGACTCCTTCGCCTATTTTGCTTGGAGATTCTCTACGGAACGTGATTAAAGGATACGGCAAGAGAGGCAGAAAGATGCTCATCAATCACGGACGCTATATATTCCCCATAATTTAGCAGATAAATGCATTAACTCTCCATCTCATCCAAGGAAAGTGCTTTTATTCATCACACTCATTGGGAAGAGGGGTGGTAGCACAAAGCCTCTTCAAAAAGAAGCGGGAAGTCTGCTATTCCCAATATTACCTACTGGGGTGGTCCATTGCGTTCACACAGTATGCACCAGTGACTCCTGATTTCACATATGAACACTACGAGTACATTATTGAATTTGAATTACTGGATAAAATAACATCGGTGGGTTGAACAAATAGATTTCACCGGCCATCTCCCCATCAAGCACTGGATTATGCAAACTACTAATTGAGAATGCAATCTTGCCAGTCTTCTTGCACATTGCAATCAATATTGACAAGCGAATTTTCCCAATGAAGGAACAAGTTTGAGTTGTTCCACGAGGCATTAACAAATAAAAGCCAGAGGGGTAATATGAATTACAATGGGAACGGATTGTTATATATTGTTTTTAACATTTGATTATTTTCTGCAAAAAAGTACATTTCTGTAGAAGTGAAAATGATTAATAATGATAGGCAATCAAATTTTTTACCACTATTTTATCCCACACTTGAACTTTTTTAGTAGTTGAAATTAAAGGATCACGCTTCAGACGGCGTGAAAGGTGCACCACTGTAGAGAAATAAATAAAATGCAAAGGACTGAGTTCAAGGTAAGGGGGCATTTAAGTTCTTTCTTCACGCAAGTTTCGGAAATGGGCTTTCGGTTCTTTCAATGCTGTTTTTGGCATATGTTTGAACATTTATACTCGGGATATTTGTTAAATTCTTGCTGGGTTATTTTTGCTTCAACTTCACTTTGAAAAATTCTCCAGGGAAAGCTAACCAGCTCTGATTAATCTATGAGGTTACCCTCCAATACTTTAAAAATTCATACATTCGCTACATTTTTGCCTCGTTTAAACTACTTTATGCTTAGGTCACAAACTCGTTAGTACTTTAATGCAATTCTGTCATCGAGTTAGGACATGCAAACTACGAAATTTGCAATATGGTAAAAAAAGCAAAAAATGTCCCCAAAGAAACTCCCTTCTATCGAACTTCAAGGAAGGGCGGTAAGCAGATAACAGATAAGGGGAGCCAGACACGGAATAAGCCCCCCACCCCCCCTAGTGCTTTGAATAGTCATCAGTAAACATTAGGAAACATGATTTCCACGCATGTCATTTATTCCTTTTGTCCCACTTTCATGCCTTCTCACATACTGAAAAATGAAAATTATTAAGCTCTACCGATGGGAGATAGAGAAATGGGGGGGGGGGGGGGAGGAACAAATACGCCCTGTTAGGTTGAAGTCTTTTATGAAAACAAAAAAATTGGTTCAACGAAAAATAGTCACACATGGGGAAAAAATGTAAACCATTGGTGATAAACAAAAGTGGTATAGGAGATAATATTAACAATAACGGCACCTATCAAAATCAAAATTAAGAATTCAGCTTAATTCTGCCACAGTCAAATTTCCATTCTTAAACGCACTTTGTCAAGAGTTGAGGTGATTAAAGTAAAAGACAGAGTGAAAATCAAACAAAGTGCAGAAAGGAGAAGGAAGGAAGAGGAAATTAAGTGAAACTAGTTTATTGCGACCGGAAAGAAATTTCTTTCCATTCAAAATGGCAAAGCTCAGGCCAAAGATACTGATTAAAAGACACACCGTGGAAATGTTACAAAAAGGTGAAAATTACTCAAAACCAGGTCAACGTCCAGGAGTCAAAAAATGCAAAAACCCATCATCAAATATTCAGAGAGGAAATCGGTTTGACAACAGAATGCAAAGTTCTCAAAAGAGAGATTCACTGTTGCAATTGAATTTGTAGCAATGATTTCTCCCAATAAGTTTGAGACTTTGCATTCACCACAGCCTGCGAAATATCCAACACACCCGCCTTGCTCACACACAATATTAAAAAGTGGAGGGGAAATTGTTGATAGCTCTAACCTCGTAAAAAACAGGAATCACACAGAAGTTGAGGTAGAAATGGTCTAGAACAAATAATGGAAAAATAAAAATGCTTTCTGCATAACAGAAATTAGCATACACACAGATGTGTCCCGATGGAAATCAATAATCGTAAATTGGGTAAATGATTCAACCAGCCGTCCACTTACGTAAGTCGATTGCATAGACCAGTGGTCTAACAGGAAAGGCAATAAAAAATGGAAAAAGACCATAAAGTCAGGTCTGATAAACAAAAACTCCAAACAAACTGTAAAGTGGACCTCTGTCCGAGGCTTCACCACTACCAATTCATCTAATTTGACACATGAGTCATGAAGATAACTAAGATACAAGATAACTCACATCCCCAAAGAACGTCCACGATCTCAGATTCTGTCTCGGGAAGGGGACATTTGGTGAGTGGTTGGAACACAGAAACGAAGCCCTGTTCTGAGTAGGTCAGTTTGTCACTCCTGAGATGGAGGATACGGCCTGAGGCGATGGCTAGACGAAAGCAATGAGAGGCGTGATGAATTTGGCAGCCAAAACCGCAACCCTTGTTAAAATCCACAACCAAGTGTTTGGCTTTTGAGCAGTCTTCAGGGTTCTGAATGAGCCAAAATGGGGAATTAATTAAAAGCTACAATTAAATGGAGGTTATAAATGTATACGCGTTGTAATCTTTGCTGACATCAACTAATCCTGAGTAGAGGCGTTTATATTCAAGTAGCAGTAGTTAATACCAGTCCTACATGCTTGGAAAAATTACTTATAAAGAATTTAAGAACATAGAAGATTGGTACATTACTTTAAATATTATATCAACTGAACAAGTGAGCCGAACACTGCCATTTACGGTCTTGAAAAGAAAAGTGGCACATGCATTAACTATGAAAAAACTGCGCTTTACCACATTTCAAATCAAAATTAAATTTGACCTCCCCCCCTCTCCCAAAGAAAAAACAATATATAGACCATTTTAAGTACAAGTACAAGGAATAATTCCAGTGAGAAAAAGCTGACCTGAAGCTTGTTTAGTTCAGCATTAAATGCATCTGTGATGCGGTGAAGAGCATTGCGTTGGGCAGCACCTGCTCCATCGACTCGCGCTAGTCCTTCAACATTTACTTCCAGCAAATCGGTGAGTCCGGAAAAGACGTTGTAGAATTCATCCACTTCCTTCTTAAATTCTTCCTTAGAAGGAGGCTTCTCGCGCCATTGATTGAGTATGTACTGTACCAGATAGCGAGATTCCCGTGTTAGCCGAACAGCTCTCCTTTGGAGAATGTGATGACTGAGACCCAGCAAAGCGGGGTCTAAACAAAGGTTAAGGGAACTAGTTTGAGTAATAGTTTCTGGTACACTGAGAGTGGATAAATAATCTAGTCTCTTAGAAACCAGTAAAATAATCTATTATGCGAAACCTAATGCATTTCATAACACAATGGGTAAATGTAATTTACAGATTAATCAAAGTGGTTTCAAAAACTTCTCGTTGAAATTAGTACGAAATTCTTCTTATAAGATTATTTCAATATCAAATTGCTACAAACATAAATTGTTTTTCATCGATTGTAAAGATGAGGGTCACCGAAATGATGCAAATTGGAACTAATTTACCTGCTGATATTAAAGTTGTAAATAAACTCTAGGAAGCAATAGAAATAAAAGCATCAACATTATCTAGTATTTTCTTCTAACAAAGAAACATGCAGTGCAATTACCCCCACTCAAACACGTCCGAATTTTACTCTGACAACTGCTATCGATCGACTGCTGTATATACCCCCCCCCACCCTTGGGGGAAGCAAAAGTCAAGGCTTAAAGGCTAATGATAAATATCATAAAGCCCGCCATTTGAAATAATAAATTCTGACAAAAAATCACCGCATTGAACAAGTATTCTTTCCTTCTCTTCTTACGTAATAGCAAAATTTTAATTTATATAAGTCTGTACAATTCTTATTTCCAATATAAGCATTTGCCAGTAAAACGTTTCGTATTCCGTTGTTTCATGCAATTAACTTAAGCTAATATCCATTCGCAAGTGTGTAATTCACTGCATGATTCCCAATCTTCTACTGGTCTATTGAAAGAAAAACAAAGCCAATTAATTACGAAATCCATTCAAATGTTCAACGATTTATATCATTCTTATAAACCTATTTTACACAGGAAATTTATAAAACTTCCCCAATGTTAAATATGAAAAATAAATAAATCTTTACGATATATATGCATTAGCAGCATAAGCACTAAGTGAATTAGTCACTCATTACATTAAATTAATACAGCTCGGCCATCAAAAAGTGTTATCGATTATTAAATTAATACCTATGAAGCACTACAGCATTCCGGACAAGAAATCTATTCATTGGGATAGAAAACTCCTTTACTTTATTTGGAGTTAACAAACATTTGCAGTAGACAAAATACAATTTATTCCACTATAATGTGACATCGATTTAACATAGAACATTGAAATAAGGCAAGAAATTTAGTCAATTCAAATAAAATAATCAGGCGATGCATAAAAAAGGAAGCAAATACGTAAAAACTAGGAATAAAGATTATATAACTTTACCTTTTTCCTGATGACTGAAGTTCGATTGACTAAAATTAAAGCACGATATATTAATGGATTGATGTTAATTAGAATCAAAACAAAGAAAGGTGATACAACGAATCAACCAGTGATGCCATGTTTAAATAATAACTTCAACAGGTGTTAAAGAATGAAATAAGCATACATAAAAGGCTGGTTAGAAACTTACTGAACATTGACATTTTTAAGGATGTTACTAGGCGCCTTAATTTCTGGACTAGGAATAGATGGAGGAAGATTGGAACATGAATTGTTGATAAGCCCCAAGAAGAAGTAGATATACAAGGTGATTAGAGATATCACCGTTAGTGGAAGAAGCCATCTCAATCGGAATATCGCACTCCTCTATAAAGAAGAATGGTAAATTAAAATAGAGACAGAGGAAACCAGCGCTCAATTCCAGGCGAATACCGTCACATAAAATTAAACCCAATAAAAGCGTCAACACGCTAATATAGTAAGCGGACAAGTATAGTTTCTATCAGAACAGTGATACTGAAAGATCTACTCCGCATATATAGGACGAATTTATACCAATACGATTAGATTAGCATAATCAAATTTTAAGTAAAAAAACTTATATTTAAAGGACTGATTCGCAATCAAAAATTGTGTAAACTACCTTTTTATTAAATAGCGGCATATAAGCCATAATTGGAAGAGAGTTATAAATTCCTTTTAATTTCGAAAACTTTTGCGACTAATTGAAAGGCATTTAATCACCTTGAATGACCCACAAATCACCCAATTATAAACCTAATCATACAAGAGATTGAAAGAATAAAACAAAATAAAATGTTTTATTATTGTCTGCACTTCAAATCTCATATACAGTAAAAACGTCTTAACTTACAAAATTAAAATCTTTAACTATTTACTACTTCCCTATACATATTTCATATTAATTAATAAATGAAGTTGTTGCAACGTTATTTATTAAAACTAATTGAGACTGATACAAAAATTCTGAGAATATCGAAACTCTAAATTCGTTTGTATGAAATGATATTTTCTTCGAAATATGCTTCCTGCTTTAAATTGATACTAGTGAGTATGTCTGGTGCATGGCATGTTATTATCAATGCCTGATATGAAAGTCATTACCATAATAAATTTCATTAAGTTATTCAATTAAAATGAGCCAATCAGGTAGAGCAATTAATTTAACGAAAAGTCAAGGATTTTAATATTAACTTTTCAAATTTCGTCCCCACAGTAGCTTATTGGTGTACCTTAAAATCAAATATATTTTGTGCCTTAAGAACTAAAATTTAAATAAATCTTAAAAGTGTTCAGGTAAAAGGAAATTCGATTTTTACGAAAGACCCACTATTTACCTACTTTTGGATGTGAATCTGATGGAAAGTAGCCCATAAAATATAGTTAAAATTTTACTGGATAACTATGTTTTAGCTTAACTCGTACTTACGTGAACTTGGTTGCCTCAAAAATGATGAGCAAATTTTCAAAATTATTTGTCCCTTTAGTCTTTAAAATTGGCCTTTATTACTATTTTTACTTGCTTACTAAAAGCGATAGATCAATATTTTAACATTAAGTAGTTCAACTATTTATTTAAGCTATATTAGATTTATTAAATTTGGACTAAAATGCTTATTGTATCAATGGATAAGTGCTCATCGTTTGACCTTTTGGAGTGGACGACTTACTAATGTTTGACAATGGAACCTCAATCGCCTAAATTTTTCGTTAGAGTTTGGCGTAGCACTGATAGAACTGAGAACTACTGCGGTCGATCTTTTAGAGGCCTTCTCAAAGCACCTCTAACTGTGGTTAATTATTGGCTGTGCATAGTAGTTCGTCCTATTTTCATTTAGCATTTTCCTTGTTCTCGAGACTGTGTACGCAGTGAAGCCAACTTCGGAGATAATAAAGTACATTGACAATTATGCCAGAGGCTAATTGTATCTAAATACATTAAGTTGAACATTTTAGATGACTGCTGAGGTTTAGCAAAGAGCTCATTTTTAATTTCCCCCTCAAGCCGTTATCAGTTTAAGCGGACATTCACTGTTAATTCTGCCGGTAATAATGATTTCTCAAAGGGAGATATATTCGACTTTTTTTACTTTTTGACCGAATAATGATATAGAAAAACTATTTATTTCGAATACTTTATGAAATCTCAAGTAAACAAAACTCCCTGCATGTACGCCTACCATTTTGAACTTTGTGTTGAAACAATCATTTTAAAATTAACGCATTTGACCTTCTAAAAGTGTTTGAATTCAATAAAATAATTTTTAAAATATCTTCTTTAATTCCATGGCCTTCTTAAAAATGTCCTTTTATTCAATGTATCGAAATTTAGTTTTCAAATGTGCTTGTATAAATCATCAAGATAAACGGTCAAAGTTTCTTTTAAATTTCGAAAGAAGTCAAAATCGGATGCATCGACGAAATTATATTCTTTCAGAAATAAATATTCAACTGGAGAGAAAGGATTAATGATTAAATTAGATAAGAATTACTTGGATGAACTATGCAAATACGATTCTGAATTAGTTCCTACGTCATAAACTGAGTTATTTAAGTTGCCTTAAACTTTCTTTATAATTCCCTTTAAAGTAGCGATGAATCAATGGAAGATATCAAGCGAAAATCTCACTAACTACTCAAATTCTCTTTAGTGCAATGTTATCTGTTCCCATTAATTAGTATAAAAAGCCCCTAATTAACTTCTCTTTTTCTTCTAAATAAGATTTGCATGTTCGGTAATTTTGATCAAAGCGGTTAATGAAAGAATTTAAAAATTTCTTTGACCTGTACGATAGACTTTCAATGCCACAAATAAGAAACTTCAGCTCAACTTGATCAGTTTTCTTCACCAAAACCGTCTCTAATACATTAAGGAGGAGTGCATTTGCTGATTTTCAGCGAAAGATTAAAAAAGCCCATTTACTGAAAGTGCCGATTTCCCTATCGAAATGATTATTTTTGTTTACCTATAACTTCGTCTTGCAATAAATGGTAAAGCAGATTTCTCATAAATTTTCTGTGTACCTCCGATGTAGATTTCATTATGGTTTTGCTGTTTAACCGTAAATGTTGTAGAAAGTTGGCTTATTTCTTCGTTCATCATTTAGCATAATCTACTTGAGTAGTTTTCTTTGTAAATTATTCATCATTATGCAGTTAAATCTCCACCTATCTTTCATGATGAATGAGTGGAATAGTTGCTGATAAACGAGAATTTCACCACTCTAAGAACAAGTTTGATTGAATAAACCATATGCACCCGATAGTTCTTAACATCATCATTTCAGACTTGATTCTGTCTGATTAAACCTCAGAAATTTAAATTTTATTTATAAAAAAACAAAAAATTCAAGTTTTAATCATGTCTTATAAACAAAAGAGGCTATTGAGTCGATTTAAGCAATGCTAGATATATATTTCAAATGACAGGCAGTTTGACAGCTGACTTCGGGCTTCACAGAGAGGAGGAGAAGGAACATCCAAGTGACAAAAAGGTCGAGAGGGGAACAGAAGAGAGATCCATAGATGTAAAAGAGACAGACAGACATAAAGGTAGAGAAAAGGTGAGGTGAATACTGTGGAAGTAGTCGAATATGACATACAGTGGGGTCATGGTAGTTTAAAATCAGAAGTCAACTGCCAGTAAATAGACTTTTTTGCTCTATGAGTATACGTTGCCCAGGGTGCATCACGTGGAGGTAAGTCTATCACACACCCAGCAATGCCAGATATAATTTAGCATTAAGACAATAATCAAACCTGCACTTTATCCGAACAATGAGATCGTCTGGTTTTATGCTTTCAAATAGTTCTTCTTGCATTCGAAATTATCCCTTACTATCGGTAAATTGAAACTCCTGATGGCATATTTCAAATGATCTCGAAGAAATATTCATTTCACATAGCTATTCGCTAAGTAATTATTTCCAGACGTTTGTTGAATGTCCGCGCCTCAGCGATGACCTATTCACTAGTGTCTTCGCTTCTCACACGGGTTTGTAAAATGTCATCGACACCGAGTGTCCATTTTACTGCATCTTTTATTTGTGCCGGATGTTCTAGTAAGGTAGGGATTGTTTATTTTTAGAATTCTGCACAAAAATCGCATCCTCCTTCTCTTTGAGCCATCTAAGCAAGCTCTATTTACACGAAACTTTAGATTTTCCTAATTTCAGTTATTAGGAATTCAATAATAAGATTGATTGAATCATATTTCTTTTCCGGAGTATCCCTATGATTTTGTGATTGTGCTGGAAAGTTTTCGGAAGATTCAGGGGAAAAGTCAGAAAACCGCTGTTTTTAAATCTCTTTTTTTTCCAGTGCTGCATCGCAAAAATTTACTTTATACTCACCAGGATGTCCTATTCAAGTGTTTACGCTTTGGTGTGGGATAAATATTTTTTCATCTATTCCATAAGTATCGCATAATTTGTGTAGCTAGATACTTTGCTTACCGCAGCTTAAATTCTGAGCTTAATGTATTCTAACGATGATCATGATTTGGGTCTGCTTCCCTGGATGCTGAGGGAGCGTGAAAGTTGCTGATTTTCTGGAGATCAAGAACAGAACCGTGGCCTTTTCCTAGCTGAAATTATATTTGACTTTTCGGAAAGAGACTTGACAGCATAAGTACTAGTTTGCTAGCAAAACTCAAAGAAATGCATTTCATTTTTCGAACTTTCCTCGAAGTCTGTAGAGTGGTCAATTTTATTTATACACTTTACATGAGCTTCAAGGATGTTAAGTTTGCCCTTAGGGGTGAAATTTTCTCCCTTAAACATTGTGTATCATAATGCAGTACCCAGTTGTCTATAAAATGACGCTGTGTCTAGGCAGTGGGGAGAGTAAATCTTTTGGCGCTTAGGGGCAAATGTAAACAAGGGAAGAATTTCAAGCATTAATTATAATTATGGTATAGCTTATGGAAATGGGATTGAATTGTGGAACTTAAAGTTATTGGGAAATGAGGCACTACCGATTGGGGTGGGTTAATTTTATGCTGAATTGTCAATGCTTAATGCAAAGTTTACGTTAGGTTTGGTATTTGAACAGTTAGAACTGCTAGACGGAATTTTAGGAGGTGGGCGGGGGGGGGGGGCGTATGAGTTATTACTTAAAACAGATGAGTTTCAATTTGTTATGACAAGCCTGGAGGTTCCACATTTCTTTCGAGATTTGAAAAGGGTGTTTGAGAATAGTTTTAACTTTTTCGTTTCCATGCGTCCTCTTGCTTTCATGTTATTTTGAACAAATTCACCAAAAGTTGTTTTAATTGGTCGACATCACGCATTTTATTTCTAAGCTTCCAAATGGGAGGAGTACAGCTGAGTATCGTTGAGTACTACTTAGTACGGTTCGCGTTCAATATAATCATAGTGGATTTAGGGGCAATTCCTCCAAACTTGAATTTAACCTTAAGGCACCTTTGATTGACAACTTTATACATCGCCCCAATGGCATTTGACTCGTTTATACTACCCACCACTCCATCACCAAGCGGGAGTTCTCATAAGTCCAAATGTTTAAAATTATATGCCAATTATAAGTAAGTGCGAACTAGGACCAATGTTAATTAAAAGAGGGTAATAAATGTTCAATTTTAATTAAATTCTTATCAGCAACATCATTCCTTTTTTTCCTTTTCATTTATCTAACATGGCATTTAGATGTATCAGGTCTTGTGTGAATACAGAAAAATAATTCAATACTACAGCCTTATTTAAAATTGGTAAATACGGATTTTTAAGAATACTAGCACGCTGAACATTCAATAGTTCCCAGCAAGTGCTGAAGGTGTTCACAACTCAGCACATCGAGACAAGCTTTGGGAAACTTTGTCCCATTCATTTGGTGTGATTTCTGCAATCGCATTGTGAATGTCAATTTTCAACTCCTCTTCTTCCTTCTGCGTAGATTGCAATATTTGCGTGACGTTCGTTTGATGTTTAGTTTGGAGGTTAGACGTCTGGTTGAATTCTGTGAACTTTTAAGGGAGTCTAGAAAGCTCGTTGAATAGTTATCGTTTGGCATTAGCGGCTGAACCTTTAGCTCTATATTTATCAATCATCTTCTGGGTAAGAACTTTAGAAGGCACAACTGCCTGTGCATATTTTGTCTTTGAACCTTTTATTTAATGCTGCAAACGAATCATATCCCGTAAAGCTTTCAGTAATGACAACTCTATATGGTTGAAAATGGTATTCCGGAGGATTGTATTCACAACAGTTATAAATAAGTTCTAATAAAATATGGAACAAAACATAGTTACTACAAAATAGATGCTGGACAACACGTGATCCACTAAAGCGCTCAATATCAACTGCTTTATGCTACAAGACACGGGACCCCTTCTACATTGGCAGGACTGTGTTTCGTTCTTCATGAATAAATAACAACTTTTAGGGCTTAGAGAATATCTCCGGAAATATATGCCATACATTTAAAGAGTCTTCATTAATAAAATTTAAGGAAAAAATGAGTTTTTTTTATCAAAACAGAAATGTGTATGAATATTGGTTATTTGGAGTTAAAAGCTACACTGATGTCTCAATTTGGGACCGAAGCTTAACTCTCCCCATACAGGATGAGTCATTCCAAATGCACAAGACTCGCAAGCTAGACTCAAGGAAGCATAAATATATATATTCAAACCATTCATCTTTTTCAGATTAGCTAATGAACACCTTACTTTAATTAAAGGAAAAAATCAATGAAGTGTACACTTGAAATCGATATCTTATTCACCAATTTTGTGTTCACGCTGGTAGACTTCGTGTCCAGTATTACTAATTTTGTAGAGATCAGTCTTTCTATTCAAATCTACCCTCATTTTTAATTGTTGGAAACCCCAAACGAATGAATTTAAAGAGGTTCATCTTAATCGAGAATTACTTCATAATTCTTTAGTACCACCATCTCATCCCAGGTTTAAATGGTGTTGGCGTTTCACACATCCACCTCTGTTTCTGATAAAGACTGATTACAGAAGTTTGAATAGGAAAAATAACCAAATTAACTTTATTATCTAACATAATAAACGTTTAACATCATAGAAAATTGCATTGTAGACATAGCTCGTACCAATTTCATATTTTTTATAAAAGTTTTGTGATACTCAGGGACCATGATAGAATAATTATTGACAAACAGTAATGAGGCTTTTGTGATATTGGAATCATGGAAAATGATATAAAACACTCATATAATCTTATCAGCATTATTGTTTCACTTCATTGATAATCTGAATAATATTAATGTAGAGATCACTTCAAATGATTTGATTATTGGTATGACATTCATAGAGCTTTGACCTTCCCCACTTTTCCTTTAGGGAGTGTTTAAAACACTCTAACAGAACCCGAACATCTTAACCAATCAATATCAAATAAGTGCACGAGTCGATTTAGAACAAGTTGACTCAGTATAATTTTCTTTACACACAATATGCCTTCAGAATTTTAAGTAAAACTGTTTTATATTTTGCTCGTCTATACTTACATAAGTAATATGCAGATGCGTATTTACAGCGGGGAGGTACTGGTTGAAGGAATGGGATACAACTCAATTAAACATGAGATTCATTCGAATCCCATTGGGTGGCAGATTTGTCTTGGGCCGGGGATTTTCCCATGAAGGTGGACATTTGTTTTTTAGATTTCTTTCTCCCGGGCATAGTTTGAGGAGTGGCAGCATGAGGAGGAGGAACTGGAGGTAAGGGATAGAGGGGATTCTGGAGATCTTCACAAGGGTCATCGTTGGAGTGCCAGATATTGAGACGTGCTGAGGTAACTCCACCCCCTCCTCCTCCTCCTCCACCACCACCACCAATCGAAGGACGATTGAAGGAGAGGGAACTATCTGAAGAGTGAATAAAGGTCTCGATTCTTCGACTGGCCGGTGGACAGGGTGATATGACTGTTACCTACAAAAGAGTAATGAATTGAAGAGGATGTTAATGGGAGCTTAATGTACCTACGTAAAAGGTTTGCCCAAAGCTATAAAGTGACCTATGTAGGATGAAGCATACTAGATAATCAGAGTTCTTCCAGACTGTGTGCCATTAATTACCACAAAAGGATTAAAGCAAAATCATTGGCAAAAGTTTTTATGGAGGGAATCAAAAAATATAATCATGTGAAGGAGGGGGTAAAAATGCATGTGCTAAATAATGTGGGAATAAATCGATAAGGCATTTAAAGACTGATAACTGAGCAAATTATGAATTAAAATTCAAAATTTTGAAAAAATGCTGAGATCAATGCCCAATTCAATTCCTTTGTGCATCCATGATCCATACATCCACAAGACTAAATATCGCTAAGCCATTCGACCGATTTGGTTACATGGAATAAGGAAACACGTTAAATTATCCCCTTTCAATGCAATTTAGACGCGCTATTAACCCTATTAGGATAAATTTAATTTAATTTTAAGTATATTTATGATGTTGCCTACAATAAAATCTCATTGAATATCTTTTAACTAATAACAAGCATAAAACATTATTATTATTTTCTCTACGATTATTGGGATATGTGTGCAGTTTAGAATGAGTACATTGACATACTCTGCTAGTGACGACGGTTACGGTGCGTGAAGCCATTTGCATAATCAAATGTTTGCAAGCCAACAGCCAACAGATGCACATAGAGAGCAGGAGGGTGGTGAAGAGGAGTCGATAAAGACTGGTGAGGAAAGCGGCAAAAGTGGAGTTTTTGAAGAACATTTGATGCAGTTGGCGCAATTCTTGTTCGGATAAAATGCTAGTGGATTTTTCCGCTCCCAAAACCGTATGCCTTTCCCGAAGACTGAGAGTAGAATTAAGAGCATCTAAAAAAAACTTAATTTTATACACAATTGTAGAAAAGTTTTTACTTTATATATATACAATGAAAATCGAATAAATAGGGCAAAGTCGACTTAAGCTGTTTTGCTTGAAATTTATTAGTCTCCCTTGAGGCAGGACAGACTTGAATTGGCACAATTAAATTTTAACTAATAAATCATGCTCACGCTCAAAATAAATTTAAAACCTATGACTTAGTCTTGGTAACAATTTCGCCGATTATACCTTCTCCTCACTCCGTCATTAAAACTTACAATTTTGACATATATTTAAATAAAAAATGAATAATTGGTTCCTATCAAAAATGTAAAGACTACATGCTGCTTCCTTTATGCGAACCGTGCATTTTGGCCATTTAAAATTTCTTTTGTAAATGATGTAAATTTTATTACAAAGGAACGAAAGTTGCGCAGTCGTCCGATTTCTTGCATAATGTATTGAGGTGCAATGCGATGATGGAAATCAACTTAAATAAAGAAGAAATGAAAAATAACGACACTTGAAGCATTAGAAATTATTCTAATGCGAAAAAAAAACAAAAGGAATAAGCTTCTAAGCATATTTAAGGTTCCATTTGACAGATTTTTAATTTAATCATTAATCCAGAGGAGAATACCGTCACTCCCATCCCCAACCTCCAATACTGGCATGTTCGCTATTTTACAAAACGGAAATTCGGGTAAAATTATGCCTTAATCTTAATTTTAATTGGCACGATTATTATGGAACGAATTTTAAACAACATTAGCATGTCACAACATTTAAAATTGGTTGACAATTTAGCCTACTGACATTGTTAACATATAAACCAAATTTAAATTAACTCACTTGAATGTAATTATAGGGAATACCTCTAAATTATAGTAAAATATAAATCTATTTTAATAACTTATATTTAAACTTCTCGTAATTTATCCTGCTGAAATTTCATAGTTTAATGCAATTGGAGATGCAGTATGTAGAATATAAAATAGAATAGCTAAAACCGATTCGCATTAATTAAGGCTTTTAACTCAATTTAAGGTTGCTAAAAGCAGAGGAAGAAGACTGCGTGAAAAATTAATTAATGTTTTAACGTCGGAAACACGACCTGTCGACTGGACGGGAAGGAACGCACAAAGAGGCAGTTTGAGCTGGTCCTGGGAAGACATAAACGAACTAGTGCTCTTTTGTGGTTTTCGTGAGCCTATATTTGAGAAGGGAGACTGTTGCCTTCTCTGCTGTTCTTGCCTTATCCGATGGCAAATGGAGCTATCGAGTGCGTAGAAATTTTGATGATTCCGTCCAGTTGCTTCTGACAATGCGCAGACTTCATACAAGTTCTGCCGCAAAATATGCTCCTAAAAAGAATGAAATAATGTATAATATTTATTTTGGCCTAACAAATGACTGCGCTTAAATACTCGTTAGCACATGTTAGGTATCGCATTAAAATGCTAACTCATTTGTCACTTTGTATTAAAGATCAAATGGATCCTTGTTTGGACTTAAGGAGTTAAATGTAATTTTATTCTCCTAAATATTTCTCCTTTAACATAGGGCTAAAATCAATTTTTAGTCTGGTTGTAGAAATAGAATATACAGATAATAAACAGTTAGGTTTTGTACTAATAATATGTCGGAAATCGAATGTTTTTACGGAACTACAGCTAAATAATTAGAGATGCTCGAATTTCTTGTGACTGCGAAGCATTTTGCCCGATCCATTAATTTGAGGATATGTGCCTGAGGTTGTCCATTAAATTTTAATAATGGTTATTAGAAATCCATAGACCCCAGAGAACTCCTCGAATGCTCTAAAATGGCCAAAACCTAGGAGAGGTTCATTTTTTATAAACTTCGCTATTTTTTCATTTGTTTTGCCAAAAATTAATCATGAACTTGATTTTGTTCTATCGGAAGTCCCAATTACTTAATACTTATACGCACCTTTTCAGTATCAATAAACTCTAAATGTATTTCATTTGAGGTGTTTATCATAGAGAAATGTAAATTAAATGTCGCATATGTTTATGACCGGGAAATAAAGCTTGCTGTAGAAAAAAAACACACATCGGTAAGGTTCCTAATGTTTTAGTTGGTAATGAACGAGACTATTTAGTTGATTCCGAATATCGTTTCAAAATTTAAATTCATCTGAACAGGTAACTTTTAGCCCATGCATAAGTACGAGGATGATTCAAAATATTTCTCAGACGAATTCCACAAGTTATCTACTTAATAAGTGATTACATTTATTTTTCTACACAGGATCTATTGTTGTCCATATACTTTTGTAATCAATATTTCCTCCCGTAAATTCATTCATAGTAGAATTTTGGGGTCTGTCTTTGACAAGTGCTTTTATTTTAATCTTTCATTTTTGGAAATAAAACGTCTTCAGGATCTGAGTCCAGGCTATAAGGAGGATGTGAAAATGTTTGTCATCGAAGTTCACCTAACAGGGCTCTGACAGCTCTTGAAAAATGTGCGAAGGCATAATCATCATGAGACCAAATTTGACGGTTCTGTTTTTGGGTGATGGATGTCTTCAAATTCTTCAAAATGTCTTCATAATATCTCGAAGTGACCGTTTTCTGTCTCTCTAGAAAGTCTCTCTATCGTATCACCCCTTTTGAATCCCTCAAAATAGGGACCATTACCTTCTAAACGGACAATTCTGCTTTGAACTTGCCAGGCCCAGTTACTCCCTTTGGATACTATTCTTTTGAGTGAATTCTATCTTTTATGCCAAGTCGGTATATCCAAGTTTCATCTGCGGTAACACAACACTTAAGAACTATCCTCATTCGCTTCCCTCTTTGCCAAAGTGGCAAAAGAAAGTTCAACTCTTTAGAAATGTCCCCGCAGCAGTTTTGGAACCCACAGTGAACACAGAGAGCTTGCGCAAGCCAATATTTTCTGTAAGAATTGAAAATGTTGATCTATGTTCGATTTCTACTTCATTGTAATTTCCCCAATGGTGACCCGTCCATCTTGTTCCACTAGTTTCTTCACAAGAGAGATGTTTTCATGATTTCTTGCTATGGCTCAATAAGGCGCAGAGTCCCCATAAACCTGTTAAAAAACTTCTATGATCTAAACAGGTTTCCAATTTAGTTTAGTTGAAGCTGTTATGCTTTAACTGATCTCAAAACTAGCCATTTGAAAGGTTGACGATTGCTATCCTTTTTGAGGTGCGACCTGTCTGTCTTGATACCGACCTTACATATAATGATCTGCCAATTTCATAATATCGAAGAAGCTCTAAAAACATGTTTGAACTAGAAAATAAACGTTTCATTCGAAGTAACGACATTTGTCTGCGACCTATTTGACACATCCTCGTATTTACCATCTTAATGGACAAAGCTAAATCGAAACGAGCTTCAGAAATGGAAGAAACGCAGACAATCTCAACGAATAATATCTAAAATAACTATATAATTTCTGAGAGATAAAGAAATATTAATATTAATGTCAAAAGTTAATTGACTGGGAGAAAGCAAAGTTGGAGATATAAGTAAAATCTTGCCAAATTAAATCAACAAAATATCCTATTAATATAAATCTGGTATTTCATTGATTATTTAATATCTTCAAATTTAATTATTACATTTTAACACAGCGTTAAATTTTGTAGGTAGACCAATAAAGGCATTAGGGGATGTTAAAACTAAGCAGAAGTAATATTTCGTTGTAGTAAAAGTATACTTCTAAGATGAATTAATATCATTTTTATACTATCATTAGAACAACTGGTTCGAGGGATATATGATAAAAATAGACATTTTAAATATCCATAAAAAGGAAGTAAATCTGTCAATTTGTTATACTAACGCTCTCTTTATCATTTTTATGGTATACTGTTGCTGGAAAACCAAACTACGCGGAAGAAATAAACTAAAGAATATTTTAATAAATTAAAATGCCCGCCCCGCATTTTTTTCGTTTGATATAATGATTTTCAACGAACAAGTTCACTCAACTTGGTTGTCTAAGAACCGAGAGTAAAATAAGCGATTTTGAGGGAAGATAAACACACCCATACACACACACCCTCGCTCCTTCACCAGAAAGCCATTTTATGTGCTGGAAATGGATTCTCTTGTGGGAGTTTTGGAAATATTCACAGTTTGACAAGCATTTCTGAGCTCAGCTGGCATGCCATATCCACTCGTTTCATATCCTTAACATAAGAATGCTGGTACATTTCGTCCTACTTTTGCACAGTGCGAAACAAGTGGTTCAAAGAAACCTCTACCATTTAAAATAATCGTTGTAGCATCTCGAATCATTTCTCTCAAAAGCTGCTCATTCGCAGTTAAATTTCATGCCAAATAATTGCAGTTTCTTCAAAATCCCAAACCTACCTTTTTCTCAGGAATTAGCTTAGATACAAAGATAGCGTCAATGGCGTTTTGCTTTATCATTTAAATTTTTGAACTTTTCGACTTGATCAAATTTTATATTTATTGAGCTGGTGTAAATTTGACAAATCATGCAACGAAGAACGCAACTGCATTTCTGCTCCACTTGATATGCTCTGCAAATTTAGAAAATACTTTAATATATTTAGCCAAGTTAATTAATCAAACACATGATGCATTGAATCTGTATTTAAAAAATAATCACTTCAATACAGCTGGAAATTAAATCTTCAAATCTCCTTCGAACGCACTGAATACTTCAGCTTTAAACTGCAAAGATTTGTTTTGAATTTCAACATGCATAATGTAATTTGACATTAATTCTGCAATCTAGACTGCGGGGACAAAATTGAATTAAATTAGATAATCATATAGACAAAAGCAATTTCCTTTCAAATTATTAATATATAAATAGTGAAAATTAACATTATCAGACCTATTTATAATTCCGAAAAGACGAATGATGAGCGAAAAAGTCAACAAGTTTACAGTAAAAGGATTGAAAAGTTTTAATGCATCATTAAGAAATTCAAGCAATTAATAAACACCACGTTTACTCTTTCTCAAACCAAATTAATCTAACAGAAAAATTTGCATACTTAGTTAGTCAAGCGATTAAGTGAAATAGGCAGATTATAATCATGCTAAGCAAACAAAGATTGTGGAATGCAGAACCATGACGTTGCCATGAGCGTGCACAAAATTAGGAAACTGTTTAAGAAAACTTTGTTTTATAAAGAGTTGAATCAATCATCGAAGATATTTCATTACGTTCATATTTTCATTTCAACAAAAATTAGCCATCTTCATGACTTAAAATTATCGAAACTATGATGAGCTTTTTACCAATATTTTATAATTTTTTTTTCAAAAAAAACTCCCTTCATGACACTTCGAAAGATCGCATATTAGTAAGATTTCGGGTGTCCACTTCCCTAGAATGGATATGTAGAGAACTAAAATTACTTTGTATCGTCGGTTTGGGATTATAAGCTCTTCCATAAGCCATTCTAATTAATCTGTAATCTTTCCCAAATGTACTTTTTTGTTCTGCAAAACAGAATTAGAAGTTAAAAAGGACAAATTTATTTTTTCAATAGAAATTGATATTAGTCTCAACGAGAGTTTGTTACTTATTCATTTTTGGAAATGTCATTCTTCGGATTTTATTGCTGAGTGACAGGCACGTATAGCTCTAATTAGACAATGAAAGTATTCCATTAAGAGATCATTTTGAACCTACCATTTTCCACCCACATTTCCAATACCAAAGAATTTACAAAAGAGAGTTAAATTCATCAAATTGCATAAAAATTTTAAAGAAAATGTTTACGTAAGTGAAAGAAAGAAGTTTCATGCCATTGAAAGCTTATGACGCGACATTAGAACTTTTAGATTAATCATGTTAAATCAATTATTTAAATAAGAATATAGAGGGCTAGGAATTCTTAGGGGGCAGAAATCGATGTGCCAAAACTGAATTCCCAGAAATAATTTTGTGATAATCAGCTTTCTACTCTCCTTCAAAATAATACATCTCTTTGCAGGAGTGAAGAAAACTGCTTTGTTGACCGAACAGGCTACCCATTTTACTCATTCTCCAAAAAGCCTTTTTTTGGAACAGAGAACTTCCTGTACTCTTCCTATTAGGTATGGCAAAACTAGATAAAATACTACCTCAGTGATTAATTAGTAGTATTGCAGTCACAAATCGTCAATACTTATTCAACAGAACATGTTGACTGTCGCGCATGCTCAGAGAAAGATAAGTTATATTGGGTTTCAGTTTTTATCCATGATTACACATGCCAAAAAAATTTTAATTATTATTTTTATATAGCACTAAGCTAAGAACCTCACCTTTTCGTATTGCAGCCAATGCTGAATCCTCATCAATCTTCTCAGCTGCCTTGAGGCTTTATTCCGTTCCAAGGAAAGTCTTTGTGAGTTGAGATAATTCAATTGAACATAATGAACCATCGCTCTCATATGATACCGGTAATCGTCCATTGCTTCTACACGAGACAGAAGCGCACTCCTAAGGAAAAGAAAATGGTCTTCGATAAACATACCTAATTTCTAAAATTGTACACTCAAGATCACGACTAAAAATTTATTTCTTTTTAGCCGTAAACGTAAATCTAATTGGTCGGTTATATTGCACTATACCAAAACTTTGACCAAACACCTATTGGGCATTAATTATTGAATAATTTTCCAGATGAGCGAATTTTGCTAAGAAGACGAGTTGACTCACTATTTATATTTTTTGTCTATGGCTAGTTGTTGATTTTTGATAGAATTAGAAGTGAAGGTAAAAAAGTTTAAGCCTTTTTATGCTCCCATATTCAAAGAAGATGATTAATGTCTACGTGGCAGACAAAAAGACAGACGTGCTAACGTGCCGTTCCCACATTTCGATTGAAGAAAATTGAAAGTGAAATCCATTTTGGTTCGGTTTTCTGTATCTAAATGAAATATAAACTTTTATAACTATTTTTCATAGATTATCTGAGAAGTTGGCATAATTCATATTGATTTGCTTGGAGCAGATGGAACCCAATCACAAAGGATGCCATTTATCAAAGAGATTTGCTTCCTACAGAAGAGGAATTTTTTCCCAAATCGAATTTCGTTGAAAATGCCTCCTAGAGCCCAATTGTTTGCCTAGGCTAGGGTGAAGTCTTTTGCAGTTTATTTTTTTTGGAAATTGGCTGTTTTAGCCTCTGACAGTTGGTGAGGATCGAATGACACAATTATAGTCATCTTAGTAGATTTGCTTTATGTGTTAATTTACATCTAAACGTTCCAGTTCTTCTGAATTAAAGCGCAATTGAGCAGAGTTTCGTTATTTTGTTATGTTTTCAAAGACCCAGGGCCATTCCAGTGTCTCTACATAAAACATTATTTTTATTGAATCATAAAACGAAATTTTCCCTGTTAGTATAATTTTATTGAAAATTGGCGTCAAAATTAGTCTAATAAAACGTTGCAATCAAATATATACGCATAGCTTGTGCGTCCACCCCTCCTCCCACTTAACCTTGTCATGACTTTAGAAATTGAAAGCGCCATAAAATGACCGAGAAACGACACACATATTTTCAAGTCGTCTGGGACAGGAGATATTGCCTAAAAGACATATTTAGGCGAGTTTACACCCACAGCGGTGAGTTATAAACACCAAATTAAACAAGCCTTCGCAAAATCATGCTACGAAGCACACAAGCGGCGTGATGTGCACAAGCAAAGAAGGGTAGTGGGTAAGTGAGTCACACACGAAAGTTAGTCTGCTCTCTCTCCCCCTCTCTCTCTCTACATATATATATATATATATATATATATATATAATACGTTCTTGCATAAGAGATGTTAAGACAGTTAAAGGTGCTCACGCATGCTATGAACAAGTGGAAGTTGACAGTTGGTAAAAACGGAATGCGAAATCAGAGAGGCGAAATTCAACATCAAGATAATTACAGGGTAAAGGGGCGTTCTTCTACCTCAAGCCTTGATATACCCTTAGTAAATAGCCAAAGTTTGTGAAATACAGCCGTAAACAATTACTTGCTTTTGGATGGGAAAAGTTTCCCAGTTTAAGATACCGCAATGTGAATAAGTTGGGATATATTCCTCCTTGAAGCAGGCTAATCTCAAACTCACTGCTCGCCTTTAAGCAAAAACAACCCTAAAAGGACTCTTTCCAGAATAAGCTACACAAATGCTTTTTGGTGAGTTTCTGTTAAAAGAAGCAAATTTATCGCCCTTATAAATTCATATATTACGATACGTATCTAAAGAATGAAACATTTCAACGTATTCCAAAACAAATTTCAGCATATACTAAGGCGGGGGGGGGGGGGGGTAGAATATAACAATTTTTCTAAGCATAAAGCGGGTATGACTATAAAGACAACTGTCAGAGTTTGTCTCAGTTTTTTAAGAGAAAGTTAGGCGAGCAAACTTACTCATAGCCGATTAAAAATTTAGTTAGATTGCTTGCATTTTATCTGAACAGAATTCACCAGCGCCCTTGTGAGAGCACTAATTAATCGATTAATGGATATTGTCGATATTGTGGAGCGATTATACCTTGTTATCAAAGCTTTGTTTTGTCTAGGAATGATTCGTTATTATTCTTTTAAGAAACGAACACCTTCGATGAAACATAGGTCACTTCAGTCTTCTACATTACTCACAAAGATATGAAAATAAGTCTACAGTATCACTGCAATAACTTATTTCGCATTTTGTGATGGCGTAAATCTATTTCAAAATAATTACTTGAATTGTCGTTATTTGACATGCAAGCAGAAATTACTAATTGAAAGTGGATGCTAGTGTAGTAACACTTGCATTCTAAGTGAAATAAATTATGAACAATTTTGTAATATATTCTTAATGTCCTGAGAGAGCTTACAACCAATCGAATTCCCAAATTTAGTAGAAAAGGAATGAAAGAAGCGCAGTTTTATTTCATCCAATCTAACTGGATTTGTCAAACGCCAAACCACCCTCAAGAACTTGAAAAGTTCCATTTGCGCATACCTACAAGTTAGCATTAGGGGCGTTATAAATCTATCCACATAGCGAATTAGATGACTTTGGAGCAAACGACAATTCAAGCAGAAATTCTTAAATGAAAGAGGAAAAGAAGCAAAATAATTCCGAAATACAGCTATGATATCTGGGAACCTCCTACTATTTCCTGAAGCAAAAAACGTTCTCTTTCTCTTGTAACCTTAAAATTTTGTATCTGCTTGCTCGACAGATGTTGTGTATATTACTTAATTAACAAATTTATGGATAAGCATTAGATATGAAAAATTTCCTATTTATGGTAACAATTTTAGCCAATCCGAGCGAAATTTGTCACTTCCGTTATGGTTTTAATTTGAACAATGTATTTCACTCATATGATCGGATATGAAATATACTCAAAATACTAAAATCGGGCAAATCCAGAAGCATGTTTGAATGTTCATTTTCCATTTACTTTTTTAAGTTGCCGGTCAACAAGTAAAATATCACAAGGAGAGGAGGATTACAGCGATAACTATTAAGTAATTTAACCTGAAGTGAAATGCGCGTGCAGAGAACACTTAAATATGATACGATTTGGCTGCATAATAGACTAGAAGCGTTGTTGGAACTGGTGAGAACAAACTTGGTGACCCTTCAGCGTATTGGTGGCGGTAAATTAAATCAATTAATTTGACAATCTCCATTGATTATTTTGGCATATATTAATGCATTTATTACTTTACTTTGAGAGAGCGGCTCTTGAATAAGCTTTTAATTTAACAATTTTTTGATGCATTAACATTTCTGGGGACATATTTCTTCAATCACAAAAAACTCGTGGATAGCTTTACTCCATAATAGAAATATTACTATTAAAGGTTCCAGTTAAAGAGAAACTTTAGTTAATGCCCGGTTTTAATCTAAAATTATTTGTTACCCAGTGGGTGATACCCCTTGGAATATAATAGTCATTTTTTTCCTTTCTATACGAGAGGGCTCAAACCTTATGTGCAAAACTGGAATGTAAATTGCCTTTTCATTCAAGTTGTATTCCTATATCATTTCTTTGTTTACTCCACTAAATGCAACTTTGTTTGTCGTAACTCGACAATTATGACAGTAAAGATCAACATTCCATTTCAAATAAATCCTTTTTAGCACTAGAACTCGAGTCAACCCTCCTCTTCCATAGCTTAGAATATTTAATTAGCAATAGTGGAGAATTTCTCCTAATCATGATATATGCAAAACTTACTTTTGCAGAAGCCAGGTGTTGCCTATGCCTTTACCGGCGCCAGTACTAACAACGAGACCGACAATCATGAGGCAAATGCCAAAGAGGATGAGTAAGTAGTGAAAATCAAGGCAGCAGCAGCACGCTGGTAGACTTCCACGTTGATTAAATCCAGTAAAATTGGCAGCCTCTGGATCGTTACTCAACTCTGCAGTGGCCATCGTGTTTCTTGGCAGAGGTGCATTGTGACAATAAGCGCCATTTCTTGAACGACTTCGGACATTCTAAGATAGAAAATGAAAGATTGCTGCTTCAAATTTTAATGTGTCAATAAATTTCAGCGTAAAATAAGAAAGAAGACATTTTAGGTGCTGCAATGCTATAATGCGAATAAGCAAACCTTATGTACAGTGGTGCATTTTGCAAGACATGTAATGATTTAAACAAAGTGGCAGCACTCACACACTTCACAGGCATAGGAGAAGGTAAAACTTTCGTTTTTATTGAAATTACTCAATTAAATATCGGAATCTATATGCAGCGAGATTTCTTAATTGTCATAATAAAGACGATTATTAAATGATCGAAAACTTTAGCCTATTTCCTAAACACCGACACCTATTAATAAGACATATTAATTTTTGATTTAAAAAAAATTAAATTGATTCAAATTTCCAAGATATTTTATAATCAAAGTCGCTTGATATTTTCACTTTGAACAAGTTTATCTCAAACCATCTTCGTGATTGTGGAGCGTACATAACCACCCCAGGAATTTCCTGAGATAGAAAATTCTGGAAAGCGCGAAGTGGCACTGATCATGTAGCGGTAAAGTGTGGACGCTCGTGCAATGACCCCCCCCCAGCCAATCGGTGGTCAACATTTGTGCAATGAAGAGCAGTGTTGACTCACTTTAGTGACTAAGCGCCTTGATATTCTGGGATAAACTCTCTGCCTTCTTTACCTTTTGTATTTTTGTTACCCCGGAAGCAAAATAACTAGTTTTAAAAAAGAAATTGATTGAGGCCAGACGCAGTTTTCTGCGCCTAGTTGGAATTCAAGCAAGATTACTTTGGTTGAACCAAAGGTTTATTTCTACAGCTTCCGCTGTATGGTTTTAAAAACAAATACAGAAAGTCGGAAGATTATTATCGGTGACATTAGGTAGTCACTTTGTTGAAATTCCTTTGCGTTTCATCAGGAGAGAGGGAAGAAAAGTAATCATCAACAATAGGTTCTAAGTTTTTTTTCTCATTTTTGAGTCGCCTTTCATTTCTTTACTAGCGCATAAATCAGCAAATTCTTCTGTGTGCGCAAATGGAATTGAAGTATCATTCCGACTTTTACTTTAGCTGATTTGAAGCACAGTAGGATTAATTAAATTTATAATGCAAATACTTAAATGGAAATCAATCTAGTTCCTATTGCGAAAAATGTGTCGGAATACCGTGTTTAAGATTTGAAGATCTGGTCAACATTTATATAATATAGCAAATAAATCCAAGTGTGAATGCGCCGCACATAAAAAAATAAACAAACGTTTTTTTCCATAATTGCTCCAGAGTGGTGAATTACACTAAGATCTCTGCCTAAAAATGATATCAACTGGTTAAATTAGTAAAAAAATTTGACAAGTTTCTAAATATTTCATTCGTACGTTAGACGGTACAGAGTCTATGCGCTTCAAACTTCTTCCTTTTAGTCATAAGTAGAGATAAATTGATAAATATGACATGACTGAGCACTATTTAACCAACTAGCATAGGCTCATAAATGACTATTTTGACTTAAATTCAGATTTAACTTTTCGAAATATTAGGATATTAAGGGTAGAGAAGTTCTCTAAAGGTAAAGGTGGAATCTTGAATGTGACAGAAATATATTGACAGCCAAAATACTCTCAAATTCCCCTCAACCACTATCCTTCATGCACATTATGACTTATTTCACTTCTTTTGAAGCATTTCAATAAAAACGCTGATTATGGACATAAATGTACATAATTGATACGAACGGAAATTAAGAGGAACCATAAAGAAGTGATTGGTTAAATGATTCAATCTCATCCTTCTTTTGGATGCCTCAAATTAGCCCTAGGTTTGGATACGTTAAGCAAATAAAACTCGTTTTAAAATGTCTGCAAGTAAAGATTAAGTTTCTTCTATCATTAGGATTGACAATATCAATAGTTACATTTTCTGTTCACTTCTGAATGAATGATTGACAGCCTGATTCTCTTGCCTGAAAAAATCAAACATCTACCAAATGTACTGATAAGTGCAATGAAAAAAGCGGAATTCTTTTAAACTAGGAAAAAGTATATGAACATTGGAAACAGTAACTCGTACATTAAAGGATGTAAATGGAATTTAGTAGAAATTTAGGAGAATGACAAAGTAACAGAAGCCATACTTCAGATGAATTTCAGTCACAAAAATAGTCAAATTCCTCATAAGGGCCATAGCTCATTGTGTAATTCCTCATGCATGAATCCCTGCCATAGTGTATAGGCCATAAATGACAATGCTAAATTGAATTAAAATATTTGACCCTTTTCATTGCACTAATTTCATTTAGTTTAATATTTTGATGGGTTTGTCAAGCCCTTTCAATGGCTTTTCAATTACAAGAGTTTTGCTAGATTTCGCTCACTTCTAACAGGAACGCGATGATTAATTGTTAAATCCTGTGCTTTTAAATCATGGCGCGACTTGGGCAGGACATTAATTTATGGTGTGGAGCCGGCATTGGGACTCTCCGGCAAAACGCCTCGTTCCCTGCAAATATGAAGCTTTTTGTCCACTTCGTATGCATGCTTGATTCAAACGCCGTCAGTTCTCACATTATGCCTTGACAACCAGGCTCTATTCTGCCTTCGCTTTGTTAAACAGGAATTCATTTATTGAAAATTTTATCTTTGCCAAAAGAAAGAAATCGATTTTAGATGAACGTATATAACTTAAATCATGCTCTTAAATTAAAAAGGCAGGCAGGTTGGCATCTACTAATTCTTGTTTTTGTTCCAAACTACATGTTTTTGTGGCAATGTAGCATGACCAACCACAACGTCAAGGCCACGGATATTATCTTCCATAGGCACCAGGTGGCCAAGTCAAAGTTTTTTTTTGATGTGAATAATCCATTGTCTCAGGTATTACCCTTTATTTTTTTCTTTGCTTCCTCTTTTCTTCTTTTGTTCTAACAATGTTGGCAATCCTTCTCTTTTTGATAAGCTTTGGGTAATTATAAAACCCAAGAGGGACAAATACAAATAACTCGTTAGACGGGGGAAAAATAAACCATTTTCTTTAAGCAAATACTTCATTATCTCTAGAATAATTCAAATTTCGTTTTTCTTGACACTGTGTAAGCAGGTACAAATTTTATAAAGTAAATCAAGGCAAATTTATGGTTCCTAAATTAAAAATACATAGCTTTATGAGATCTGAATTAAATAACGATTCGATAATTATTTAATTCATTAATTCTCTGTGTAAAAATAATTTAATTGAACTAAGGAAGACAATCCCCTTTATTAAAAACGAATAAATCGAAACATTAACTTCATTGACAAAAACACTCATTATAGGGAAAAAAACGTGTACAATTCAAGCGATGTTAGAGAATATTCCGAAGAACTATTTTCGTAACAAGCTTGCCAAAACTAATTTAGGTTGCTCTTTTAACCAAAAAATGATAAGTGTTTCAGTTTATTTCTGAAGATAGTGAAAAGCAACACATTGCAACATTTAAATCTTAACTCTTACTTAACCGGAAACAAAGATTTGAATTAAAATATAGCCTTGCCATTTATTATTTACCATCACAAAAAGGAAATTGCAGAATGAGAATTAAAATCTAGGCAAAAAGCTGTCGAAGTTCTTATTACTACAAAAGTTCAGTCCCCATAAAATAATGATTGAAATTGTGCAAATTTTTCTCAAATCATAGACGTTAAAAATTGATTTTAAAAAATTTAACGCAGATTTTTTGATGCGAATGCACGAATGACAATAATGATTATGTTAGCCGAATTCGGTTGCCACAAATTTGAGGTAAGTATTTTCATAAAAGATATTATATAGTATTTTAATTGTAATGTTTTATTATATCGTTTAAAATTAAAACGAAACCTTTAATCTAAATTTACATTTTGGGGTGTGCAATAGACTTAACTCCACGTGATGCACCCTGGGCAACGTATATTCATACGGCAAAAAAGTCTATTAACTGGCAGTTGACTTCTGACTTCAAACTACTATGGCCCGGCTGTTTGTCATATTCGACCCCTACCACAGTACTCATCTTACCTTTTTTATGCCTTTGTGTCTGTCTGTCTGTCTCTTTTATATCTGTGAATCACTCTTCTGTTTCCCCTCTCGACTTTTTGTCACTTTGATGTTCCTTCTCCTCTCTGTGAAGCCCCGAAGTCAGCTGAAGGGCTAATGATAACTATCAAAACGCCTACCATTTGATATAAATAAATTTTCATTTTTATGATTCGATAGGAAGGCTATCTT